TATATATGCACACACGAGACAGAAATGAGAAAGCCAGCTGGGGAGCTGGCTGAATAGAATTGAGAAAAATTGGTGCAGTCGTCGGCAGAAAAGAATTGAGGAAAATTGTGAGTGGATATATTTTATTGTTTTTACACATATTGGAGAGTTAAGGGTTGAATTGAGAAGGATTAGCCGGCATAATTGAGGAATTTACCTGCATATAGTGGGCTGCAGAAAAGTGGGCTGAAATACATTAATATACACTCAATTGCCGGCTGCTTTATACACCAGATTTTTACACAGCTCAAACCTTAAAATCACCACGGCAATCATAAAAACACTCCAGATCGGAAACACCGCACCCAACCCCGCCACCGCACAAATCGCAAACTTCCACCGCACAGTCACGACGCTATCCAAACCACCGCACACCTTATCAAAGAAAAAAAAATAGAACCACTGCACCGAACGCGACGCAGCAGCATCAGAAGGCCTTGCAACAACGGCCTTAGGGTTCTTCGACAACGTTGCCGCCACCAACACTAACCGCCACCCGGCCATATTGTGTGGATTAACATGTTGGGCCTTTATTTTAAGACTCAGATAGTTAGCCCATCTCATTTACATGTTATTAATGATTATTGAAAGTCCAAAATTGACCCTTTTTTCTCTCCTCAACATTTAATCAGTGGGGTTATTGTAGGAAGATTGCGCCTATTCAAACTCGATAATCATATAATTACCTCAATATTGTTGGGACGTAAGTATATGTAAATGGTTGTTAAGGTAAAAAAAAAAAAAAAAATTCAAGTTTAATTCGTAGAAGAGTAATGAAACTCTGGAAAATGGAAAGAAAGAAGGTAAGAAGAAGAAAAACAAAATGAAAACTGAAATTCAAGGCAAGTGAAAACATTTTCTCTTCAAGACAATATTGCCTCGCAATGGTGCTAACGGACTACGACACTTGTCTCCCAAGATACAATGGATACAACTTGTGGTAGAAACACTTCAAACCACAAGTAATTAGTAAATTTAGAACGAAATTTTCTCTCTACACGAAAATAGTTTTAGAACGACTTTTGGAGAGTATTTTACAAGAGTTTTTGATGTAACGCTCAATACAAATGATATGAGATGCTTAATGGACCTCCAAAGGGTCCTTTATATAGAAGATGAAAGGTTGTGAGTGAAATGTCGGCCCCAAACTCAGCAACATTTACCAAAGGTCGCAGCAATTGCTATTGCTAGCTTGTCACTAGCCTCTCGCTTAAACGACAGTGACACCTTTTCATCAGAGTTTCTCTCGCTGGTCTGTCGCTCAAGCGTTAGTCATATCTCTTGAACGATAGGTGAGTGATGGAGATTGCCATTTTCAGCCCATATTCCTATTTTCGATCCAGCTTTGGACCAAAATTTCTCATTTATCCGAAATTGATTTTGAGACTCTAAATATACCACGATGATCTACTTGACGAGTAGAACGAGTTAGTCTATTTATATTTATAATTTGACTATATGATCAAGTCCGAATATTTGGTCGAAGTTGACACGAAATTCACTTTTTCATACTTAATTTCATTCTCTAAACCAAACTTCAACAATCCCCCACATGAATGGAAATTCGAATATGCTTATGCTACGTAAAAGTATGATGCATTGTATAGAAAGAGTAGAAAAACATTGCATCAGGTAAATTAGCTTATAGTCTTGAACATTCCTTAGTGAAATACTATCGAATTTACTTGATTAATTTGTGAACGTGATGTCTTGAACCATTCAACCGTTGTTGTAAATGAAGACAGTAATACTCATATAGATGTCTTTTCTAAATCGTTCATAGTTCTCATGACTTAGTTTATTTTAACCCTAAACTACTCGTGGGTTTCATAAGTATTTAGAAAATTTTAGTCTTTGAACAATTTTCATTGAGGCGGCCTCACCTTACACTTATATAGGTGACCTCCTATTAAGAGTATTTTGATATACTCCACTTGACTTAATTAAGATATAGAACACATTAAAATGATATCTTAATCTTAACATTTTGCAAAAAGCTCTTTTAATTATCATAAGAATGAGTTAGAAAATAGTTTTCCAAGTGTTTCATTGAATCTTCATGATGTGAACCTACGTAACGAAGAACTACGAACCCACGATTAGATTGAAATCGAACTCAAGAAAGCCAACATAATTAAAGTTTTAGATTTGATTCGAAAATAAATAATCAAAATAACCAACAATACGTAAATGATTTTTTGAACTTTTTGATTGAATATTTGAGATTCTCACCCGGTTTATTTGAACGCCACAAGAAGAATCTTGATAAGTTCATGATTTGTCCAATGAAGAACAAGAATTCGAAAGCAATTTTCCTCTCAATAAATCTCAATAATAATGTTGTTTGTTACAATGAAATAATAGGTCCTATTTATAAGGATACCATATAAATCCCAGTCTAAACAGAAATAAAATCTAAGAGATTACGAAAGATACAAAAAAAATAGAATTCGAACATAATTAGGAAATTCACACCTCTAAAACCACTATGCGGCCGCATAGTATTATTACATGCAATCGTATAGACCAATTTTGCCTGCCTTAGATTTTCTGCAATAAGCTATGCGTTCGCATAGCTTGGTTAACTATGCGGTCGCTTAGTTAACTCGACCAGGCCCTCTTTCCGTTACTTGAATCATGTTAATCCATCTAGTTTCTTCTCCCGAGCCCAACATGAAACTTGTTTCCTTGCTTGTTGTGATCGACGTTTCGTCCACCGTAACTTGAGAAAGCAATCCCATCACCCCTTTCACCCACTTTGCTCTCAACTGTGTCATCGGACCTCCTTCGAGAATCAACGGATCTTTTTTCGGCCTTGACGCCCTCGACTCTGTGCTCACATATCCTGTCCCTATTCCAAAAGGATTCATCCTCGAATTTGTATCTGCATCAAAGAGAGAGACTAGAAAGTAGCCGAAAAGTAAGCATTCTTCCCAACTTTTCAAATTTTTATTAACCACAGTGCGCAACAATTGAATCATAGTACTATTGACTACTTCGATTTGCCCATCGGTTTGTGGGTGACATGTAGTAGAAACAACAATTTTGTGCCTAACTTACCCCCACAAAATCTGCCAAAAGTGACTAAGAAATTTAACATTTCTATTCGACACTATACTCTTAGGAACCCCATGTAAACACACTATGTCCTTAAAGAACAAATCAGCTATGTTAGTGGCATCATCGGTTTTATGACATGGAATACAATGCATCATCCTAGAAAACCTATCGACCACTACAAATATTAAATCCCTACCATTTTTAGTCCTAAGTAAACCTAAAACAAAATCCATGGAGATATCAACTCAAGATTCACTAGGAACGGGTAAGGAGTATACAATTCGTGGGGTAGAACGTTAGACTTAGTCTGTTTACAAGTTATGCATCAATCACAAGTTTGTTCTACATCAATCCTCATTTTAGGCCAATAAAAATATTCCCTTAACATCTCTAAATTCTTTGCAACCCCAAAGTGACCCATTAATCCCCTAATGTGTGCTTATGTAACCAACAATTCACGCATGGAATAATTAGGAACACATAGTTTATTTTCCCGAAACAAATAACCCTCATTCTTAAAGAATTTGTTTACCGCACCATTACAACATGACGCATATATGCTAGAAAAATCTAAATCATTCTCATACATTTCCTTAATGTACTCAAAACCAAGCAACTTCGCACTTAAACAAGTAAGAAACACATGCATTCGGGATAATGCATCCGTAACCACATTTTATTTACCTTGTTTGTACCGGATGACATAGGAAAATGTCTCAATAAATTTCATCCGTCTAGCATGCCTTTTGTTCAGCTCACCTTGACCCCGCAAATGCTTCAATAACTCATGATCAGTGTGAATTACGAACTCCTTCGGCCATAGGTAATGCTGCCATGTTTCCAAAGTTCGAATAAGTGAATAAAGCTCATTGTCATATGTAGGATAGTTGAATGCTGCTCCACTTACCTTTTCATTGAAATAAGCTATCGGCCTCCTATCCTGCATCAAAACTGCTCCAATGCCTATACTTGATGCATCACACTCAATCTCGAAAGTTATGTCAAAATTAGGTAGTGCTAAAACCGGTGCTTCACACAACATATCCTTAATAATGTTGAATGCATGCTCTTGTTCATCACCCTATTTAAAACGTACACTCTTTTTAACAACTTCAGTGAGTGGTGTGTCAAGTGTGCTAAAATCCCTTACAAATTGCCTATAAAAACTAGCCAACCCATGAAAACTTCTTACATCGGTTATACTTTTATGTATAGGTCATTTTTTAATAGCTTTTATTTTCTCTTCATCTACCCCAATTCCCTTAGCACTAACTATATATCCAAGAAACACAACATTTTCCACACAAAATATGCACTTTTTAAAGTTAGTAAAAAGTTGTTATTTCCTTAAAACTACTAGCACACACCCAAATGTTCAATATGTTCATTGAGGTCCTTACTGTAGATTAAAATGTTATCAAAGTAAACCACAACAAACTTGCCTATAAATGCATGCAAAACATGGTTCATTTTACGCATAAAAGTGCTCGGTGCATTAGTGAGTCCAAACGGTATGACCAACCATTCATACAAGCCATATTTAGTTTTAAATGCGGTTTTCCATTCATCACATTCCCTCATTCGAATTTGATGGTAANTGCCATTCATACAAGCCATATTTTGTTTTAAATATGATTTTTCATTCATCACCTTCCCTCATTCGAATTTGATTGTTACCACTCTTAAGATCAATTTTGCTAACTATGCATTAACCAAATAATTCGTCCAACATATTATATAATCTAGGAATATGGTGGTGATACTTTACCGTTATGTAATTGATAGCCTTGCAATCTACGCACATTCTTCAAGTTCCATCCTTCTTTGGCACAAGCAAGACGGCACGGCACATGGACTCATGCTCTCCTTCACATACCCCTTGCTCATCAATTCCTCCACTTGCCTTTGAAGTTCTTTTGTCTCCTCGAGATTACTTTGGTAAGCTGATTTAGAATGACTACGTCGGGTACGAAGTCAATTTGGTATTCAATACCTCGAATGAGTGGCAACCCACTAAGCACATCCTCTAGGAATACATCTCCAAATTCTTACAATAAAGAAATAGCCAAGCTAGGGAGGGGTGGGTTAGATTTCTCAAAATTGAGTAGTGACTCCTTGTACACCAACAAAATCATTTGTTGTCTCTCCACTATCGCTCTTTTCAACTTACTTCATTTTACAAAGAAATTTGCTCTCAACTTTTCTCTTATCTCGAAAGACCACTCTTATTTTCTCTTATGTGGCTCTTCTATCTTTTTCTCTCTTTTAGCCACCTCACTATTTGCTCTCTTACTTGCCAACTCATTGTTTTCTCTCTTACTCTCTTGCTTACTGTTTTCTCTCATTTTCTCTAACTCTTTTAGCCTCTTTTCTTCCTCATTTTTTAGTTTGATTTGGTCTTCATACACTTGTGTCGGTGTTAATGATACAAGTGTAATACACTTTTCTTGACAAAGTTGTACCTATTTTTATACCCATTATGTATCACCTTTCTATAGTATTACCATGGTCTTCCTAACAAGATATACCCACATGCATAGGTACTACGTCACACAATATTTCGTCATGATATCTACCAATTGAAAAATTTATTAATACCCTTCTATTTATCTTAACTTCCCTACATTCATTCAACTACTGTAACCTATAAGGCTTAGGGTGTTTAAGCATAGTTAATTCCAAGTTTTTCACCATATTATTGCTAGCTACATTTGTACAATTCCCACCGTCAATGATCATGCTATATACCTTATTATTGATATGGCACCGTGTATGGAAAATATTTTCTCTTTGCTGCTCAAAGTCATCTGCCTTGATTTGAGTGTTAAGAGCTCACCTCGTGACCAATAGCTCACCACAGCATATTCCACTCTACTACCATAACTAGCCTTCTCCAATTCTGGCATGCCTTTAGTTTTATCTCTAGAAACAACTCTATCTCCTTTGTTGTTGTCCCACTTCAGTTTCAAGGATGAGTTAGAACCCGAAGCACCCGATGAGAACCTTGTTGTCCCATTCATCTTCAATTGTCTCTCCACTTTCATAGCCATGTGTTGCATGTCTTCTAATTCCACATAGTATTGCAGCTCCACTACATTAGCTATGTCCCAATTCAACCCGTTCAAAAACCTGGCCATGGTGACATCTCAATCCTCCTCCACATCCACCCTAATTATCAACAATTCTATCTCATTGTGATAGTCCTCTACACTCTTCGATCCTTGGTAGAGTCTTTGCAGTTTTTGATGTAGCTCTCGATACTAGTGATTAGGTACAAACATCTTCCGCATGATAGCTTTCAAGTCCTCCCATGTATTAATTAGTCGTTCCCTATTTCTCCTTCTCGTTGTCACCACTTGATCCTACAAAGTGATTGCATAGTCGGTGAATTCAAGAACCGCTATCTTCACCTCCTTCTCTCCCAAATAGTTGTGGCAGTCAAAGATCAATTCAATATTTTTCTCTTACTCCAAGTAAGTTTCCGGATCATTACTTCCTTTGAATGGTGGAATGAACATTTTTATGTTGCCCATATTCCCATCTACCTCATCTCCAACCAAGTTTCTACCCTTTCGTTCAAGCCTAGCTCCTGTATTTCTCATCCTACCCATTTCAGCCTCGATTACTGCCTCCTCATCCACATCACTCCCATAATCATATTCTTCACATACCTCCATCTTAGGATCCCTCCGACCCTGTCTCTGTACATTTGGAACTCCGTAAGTTGGCAAGTTACGTGTCTTATCTATCTAGTCTATCTCGTATATCTTCAAATAACCGTTCAAACCTACGTATCATCTCATCCGACACGTTGATTTTGTTGTTTCGGCCTGGTTTTGATCCGTCACTATCAGACATCCTAATTTCTAAAATTTATTTCTGCCTCACAAATGTGCTCTCTTATATCACTCAATTCCCCTTTTCCCTCTATTGATCTCGCTACTCTTCCTTTTTCCACTCAATGCTTTCGCTCAAGTGCTTCAAAGGATAAATTCGAACTCAACCAGAAATTATTCTCGTAGAATTCAAACAGGGGTTTTAAGTGAGATTTTGGAAATTTTGAAGACTCAATAAAGAAAGGGAATTGAATTGGATGATTGGAATGAAATTTGAATCCAAGAAAATGGTTCTTGAATTTTACACAATATATCACATAATTGGCCGACAATTTTCGAGATAAATAATAACAAATATATATATATTTTTTTAAATTTGACTTTTCACAAAATTTTCTGAATTTTTGAATTTTTAACCTCGGAATTCAACTATGACACCGGCAAAGAAAACAGAAGTTGATTTGGACATAAAATGAGCACAAAAACAACTTTTGAATTTTTGATGGAAAAATTACGGATCAAAAGACTTAAATAGAAGAACACGAAAAATGCAAGAAAAAAAAAGACTCAAATGAAAAGGAAAAGAATATAACCTTGATTTTAGAGCCTAAATTCTGATACCAACTGAGGTGAACCTACGTAGCGATGAACTACGAAACCCACGATTAGATTGAAATTGAACCCAACAAAGCCAAAGTAATCAAAGTTTTGAATTTGATTCAAAAAAAAGGAATCAAATTAACCAACAATATGCAACAATATGTTGACCATTTTGATTTAATATTTGAGAATCTGGCTCGGTTGATTTGAACTCCACAAGAAGAATCTTGATAAGTTCGTGATTTGTCCAACGAAGAACAAGAATTCGAAAGTAAATTTGCCTCTCAATAAATCTCAANAATAATGTTGTGTGTTACAATGAAATAATATGTCATGTTTATAGGGAACCCATGCAAACCCTAGCCTAAATGGAAATAAAATCTAAAAGATTATGAAAGATACCAAAAAATAGAATTCTAACATAATTAGGAAATTCGCATATCTAAAACCACTATGTGGCCCCATAGTATTATTACATGCGGCCGTATAGACCAATTTTGAACTGCCCTAGATTTTTTGCAATAAGCTATACGATCGCATAGCTTGGTTAACTATGCGGTCGCATAGTTAACTCGACCATGCCCTCATTTCGTTACTTGAATCATGTTGATCTATCTGCTTTCTTCTCCCGAGCCAAACATGAAATTTGTTCCATTGCTTTTTGCGATCGATGTTTCGTCCACCTTAGCTTGGGTAAGAAATTGCATTGCCTCTTTTACCTGCTTTGCTCTCGATCATGTCATTGGACCTCCTTCGATAATCAACAGATCCTTTTTCGACCTTGACTTTGACGCGCTTGACTCCGTACTCACATCACTTCATAACTTAGTTGTCCAATTAAACCAAGATCTTGGGATCCCCAGCCAACAAGGTAAGATTACCATTACAAAGATCCTTACGTAGTAGGCTTTAGTCCTATTTCTTTCGATAGATAAGTGGTTGATCTCTCGTTAAACTTTTTGTAAGTGGATCCACGATGTTCTTCTTTGATTTCACATAATCTATGGAGATGAGAACATTAGAGATCATTTACTCAATGGTATTGTGTATATGACATATATGTCTAGACTTACCATTATATATGCTACTTTGAGCTCTTCCGATAGCCGATTGACTATCACAATGTATACTAATAGCAGTTATCGGCTTAGGCCAACATGGAATGTCTTGCAAGAAGTTACGAAGTCATTCTGCTTCTTCTCCAGCTTTGTCCAAAGCAATAAACTCTAATTTCATAGTTGATCAAGATATACACATCTTATTTGTTGTTTTGCATGATATAACAGCTCTACCAATGGTAAATACATACTCACTAGTAGACTTAAAATCTTTTATATCGATTATCCAATTCTCATCACAAAATCTTTCTAATACCGTAAGATATTTTGTGAAGTGTAATCCATAGGTTAAAGTATACTTCGAGTACCTAAAAATCCTTGAGAAAGCCTTCCAATGATCATGGCGAATTACTTGTAAATCTACTAAGTTTATTCAGAACACATGCTATGTCCGATCGAGTGCAGTTTGTAATATACATAAGACTGCATATCACATGTGAATACTTTAGTTCTGACATGCATTCACCCATATTTTTTACTAAGTGTAGGTTTTCGCAGGACTTTCCTCAATTACATTATACCTTTTATGTATACTCTCAATGTAGTGAGGCTGAGAAAGTATAATTTTTCCTGATGTTCCAGAGATCTTAATCCTTAATATTATATCAATCACACCCAAGTTTTTCATGTCAAAATATTTATTAACATTCTCTTGGTGTTTATCATTATTTCGTGACTATTGGTCATTATCAACATGTTGTCTACATATAGACATACAATCACGTAGGCCTTTGATATATGTTTAATGTATACATACTTGTCACACTCGTTTATCTTAAACCCATTAGACAACATTGTTTTGTCGAGTTTTTGATACCATTGTTTAGGGGCTTGTTTCAATTCATACAATGATTTAACTAATTTACAAACATTTTGTTATGACCAATAAATTGGTTAATGTGTGACCAATTAACAATGTGACCAATGATATAAATAAATTGTGACAAATTAAATTATGTGTGACCTAAAAATATGTTAATTTGTGACCTAAACATAATTTATACCGAATTAATTTGATATTTTGTGACAATGAAATTAGTTATAACTTATAAAATTTGTGATTGACGATCAAGGAATAATATATGATCTATTAATTTGACAAATTTGTGACATATAAATTTTTTAATTGTGATCGAGAAATTTTTGTAACCAATTAATTCGATAATTTGTAACCAAATTGTATAGAATTGTGACATTATAAAATATATTTTTAATTAATTATTTCAAAAATAAAATTTAATAAATATCTGATTTTTGAAATTTTAAACATTTTATCTTTTGAGTTATGGTTAAACTCTTACTTATGAATTTTTCCTATAAACAAATATGTGCTCAACAAATATCTGATTTTTTGAAATTTTAAGCATTTTATTTTAATTTTAAAATGAGTTATGGTTAAACTCTTACTTATGAATTTTTCCTATAAACAAATATGTGCTCAACAAATCAATAGTAGCTTATGTCTCAATGATTACTGTTTTGCTACGGGTACATCAAGGTGT